GACCAAAGATGGCCCAAACCTTCCTTGGATGTCTGAGCGACTGAAATGAAATAAAGATCTTGTTTTTGGGCATCACTTCAGCAACTAAATAGATCTCAAATCTCACTTTCAGGCTTCCTGCGAACAGACGCCTCGCGGTCTGACAGGTGTTTCCATCTGGAAAAAGCCCACAGAAGACCTGGTTTCTGCTCAAGATGATCCCATAGGTGTGTACAGGTGCAACAACAATATAAACAGTGACAGTGTCTTGTTTAAAATGCATGTTCGTTGGCGACTGTTTGCGGGAAAAATGTCAAATGTCCAAATGACTGGTTTTGACTCCAGGTGGCAGTGCATTATGGAATCAGTTTTGGCTATAATCCATCTCCTAAGCTCACTGGGAGCACTGGACGTGGAGCTGCATTCATTCGTGTGCCAGTCTCTCGTCAGACTGGCAGCCCGAATCAGTCTTACTCGCATATCCAGGTTGACTTTTAGAAAGTCTGAGCAGGAGCCGAACCACATTTGGAGGTTTTAAAAGCGACACCTGTTGGATTTCTAAAGACACGTCTTTGTAAGACATCAGCTCTGCCGCGACGCATCAAGGACATGCGGTTCTGATTTACTTGCACCACAATTCGCTGTGATGACATGTTTTCCTGCCATTCGTAGTTTCCACCAGAGGTCCACCGACCAAAGACGGTCCAAACCTTCCTTGGATGTCTGAGCGAATCAAAAAGAACTTGTTATAAGTTGTGGCATATACTTTGCCTGTAAACTAACGTATGGCGTTTCCCTTTCATGTTGCAGGTCCCTGACTGACCCGGTTTCATGCCTGGTGGAAGGAACTGAAGCAGAGATGGGCATTGCCAGGTTGGTGTTTGACATCTTACGTTTCGCCATTCAGTTCGCTGTGATGATGCTTTTTCCTGCCATTCGTAGTTTCCACCAGAGGTCTACCGACCAAAGACGGTCCAAACCTTCCTTGGATGTCTGAGCGAATCAAAAAAAAACTTGTTATAAGTTGTGGCGTCTACTTTGCCTGTAAACTAACGTATGGCGTTTCCCTTTCATGTTGCAGGTCCCTGACTCGCCATGTTAATGTCTGGTGGAAGGATCTGAAGCAGAGATGTGCGTTACCAGGTTGGTGTTGGACATCTTACGTTTGGAAGTTCAGTTCGCTGTGATGATGCTTTTTCCTGCCATTCGTAGTTTCCACCAGAGGTCTACCGACCAAAGATGGCCCAAACCTTCCTTGGATGTCTGAGCGAACGTTCTAAGTCTGTACCTCCTTTACTGTGTCTTACGTTTGAGCCTGACTGGATCTCGTCCTTACTTTCAGGCTGACTGTCTCGGTGGTGATGCTGTCCGGAGGTGGCGACCAAAGCTGGTACGTATGTTCAGGTTTACTTCACCTTTATGTCCTGGTCGCTGTGATGATGCTTTTTCCTGCCATTCGTAGTTTCCACCAGAGGTCTGCGGACCAAAGATGGCCCAAACCTTCCTTGGATGTCTGAGCGACTGTCTGTAGTCATGACAGTCGCCTCCAGTGTTTGTTTTTCTCTGGCTAACGATTCTTTCTTCCCACAGGTCGACCGAACAAGGAGCCGCGCCGAGTTTGTCGTCCATCGATGCTGCCGGCAGGATTTTCTTGATTGAAAACCCAACAGACGGGCGGAAGACGACTTGAGCAAAAACGTTAAATCAACAGCTTTGATTGTGTCCCGTAGCACTTTACCACGTTATGTAACCAAAGTGAAGCTCAACTGTTTAAAAAGAAATAAAGGACGAATGTTGCAAATCATTGTCTTTTCCATATTCTTTTTTTTTTTTTTTAAATAAAAGGCGGTTTTATTTTAAAAATGTATATAAAGACTAATAACGCAACAGAATCGGTGTTTTTGCTCATTGTTGACTTCTCCCAGAGTCATAATCGTAGAAAATCCTCTTTGCAAAAATTATGTTTTAAAGGCGTAAAAGGCATTTATATCCTGAGAACGAATAAACGGTTACGATGTTGGCTGAAATACATTAAAGTGGAAGATATCAGTGTTTAGTGGTAGTTTTTTGATGACTCTTCTTTCTTTAAGCTCCCACGTAGGAGTTACTTTTGTAGTTTTAATCTGACTGCATTAAAAACAAGCTGAATATGAATAGTTGATGATTATTGATCAGTTCCAAACAGTGATCGTCATTTTTTAAACCCTCTTTATTATACAGAAAATATTTTGTAGTGTTTTTTTTTTTTTCCCTTTGCCCACTTTGCCTCCACGTCGTTGTTTTTGTAGATTTTCAGTTGGTTTGTGTCACATTTGAGGCATTTTGTCTGATTTCTGTCGCTTTGTCCTGTTGTGATTTTTTTTTTTTTTTTCCCATTGTGGTGATGTTGTGCCACTTGTTGGTGATTGTGTGTCTCTTTCTGGTGGTATTTTGGTTGTTTTGTGAGACATTTATTTCATTTGTCCCGTTTTGGTCATTTCGTGTCACATTGTGTGGCCTTTCTGTTTTTTTACGCGTTGCGCGTTTTGACCCTCTCGCTCTGCCGTACTCGCACCGGCTCGGAGCGGCTGTCACAGCGAGGGCTAGCGTAGCCGTACGCCGGCCAGCTCGCGCGCAGAGCAGGGTAGAAAAAGCCGACGATGGCGGGTGTGCACCCCCAGGTGAGTAAAGTCGAGGTAGTATTTCGGCTGAGCCACTTAACGACCGACATTTTCCTCGTGCACGTTAGTAAAAGCTGTGGTTAGCTTGCTAGCTAGCTACCTAGCTAGCAAGCTAACCAGTGCAGCTCAGCTGTCAACATTGAGGCTGCAGCTGTTTCGACGTGGCAACACAGGGGATCGTATTAAACACACAAAAACAAAACAGAAAGAGCTCTTTTTTCCTCATAGCTACTTTCAGTTTATTTGGTCGGCATGGCTTCCGGTTCAGGCTGCCTTAACCTACATACAGGCGCCCAGTGAGACCCACAAACCTCCCAGCTGCTATTTCTGTTCCTCATTACAGGACGACCTGCTGAAAATGACACACAGAGAAAACTGGAAGTGAGTACTGCTCGTTTTTTAAATCAAAATTCAAAAATAATACCAATTTCACACCCAGAATGCACTCATCACACCTGCACGTGGATCCCGGAACATGCAGGTGAATGCTGCGTTTGCTTCTGCGTTTGCAGGGTGCAGCATGAGCGTCTGCACGTGAAGCACCGGGGACACGAGGCCATGCACGCCGAGATGGTGCTGATCCTCGTCGCCACGCTGGTGGTGGCCCAGATCGTCCTGGTGCAGTGGAAGCAGCGCCACCACCGATCCTACAACGTGAGTGTTGCCGTGAGAGGGAGGGGAAGGAGGCCGGAGGTTCATCCACACCCACACCGAAACTGTCTGCGAGATGCTGGTTAAATCCGTCAAATGCAAACCAAAAACAGAACAAAAAGGCGAAGTTGGGTTGACAGTGCAGCCTCTTGGCAGGTCTCCACACCGGTCTCGTGTGAAATCAAACAAAACAAAAACTAACTCGGGATAAAGTGCAGAATCCAAGGATGTACTGCTGGAAAAAGCTCTGCATGGTCGCACAAATCCACGTCAGCTCTACGAAAACATAAAAGTGTCTTAAACTGTCGCTTTGGAAATGCTTTTGTTGGAAATTACGGAAAGAAAACTGCTTAAAATGTGAAGAGCGAGTTGTCAACGCCATGTTTTTGGTATAGTAGAATGTTTTTCAAATGTTGTTTGGTCGCTTTGTGTCATATTTTATGTCCAATTTCAGTCGTTTTGCATCGTTTTGGTGCCATTTTGTCCCTTTGTGGTTATTTTCTGGTTCTGTTTTGGTAATTTTGCGTCATATATTAAGTCTGTTTCGCTTTGTTGTCGGATTTCGGTCGTCTTGTGTCACATTTGAGGCATTTCGCATTGCTTTGTTGCCATTCTGTCCATTTGTGTTTCTTTTTTTCACTTTTAGGTTATTTTGCGTCTCGTCGTGGCTGTTTTTGCGTCTCATATTGTCCTCATGTTGTTGTCACTTTGTGGTTATTGGTCCCATTTCGATGATTTTGTGTCCGATTTTCCTACTTTTGTTTCGTTGTGGTTGTTTTTATTCCAGGTTTGTGTCACACCTCAATAGTTTTGCGTCTCTTTTGTAACCATTCTTCGTTGTTTATGGTCATTTTATCCTTGTTAAGTTCAGTCTGTTCCTCTTTCCGCCAATAACGCTGGATTAATCCTGGGAGGCTGCTGGTGTCGAGCGTTTCTCTTCATGTGCTCGTGTGTTCACAGTACGGCTAAATTAGCAGCAGTATGGAGAAGGAGAACGTTAGAATATAAGAAGCAAACAAAAAAAGTGGATATAATTTCCGTGTCCTCCTCAGCTGGTGACTCTGGTCCAGATGTGGGTGGTCCCTCTTTACTTCACCATCAAACTGTACTGGTGGAGGTTTCTGTCCATGTGGGGGATGTTCTCCGTCATCACCAGCTACGTCATCTTCAGAGCCACCCGCAAGCCGCTGGCCTGCAGGACGCCCCGGTAAGAGCAGCGGCGCCCTCTGTTGGTACCGATCTGTAGTGCAGTTGTTTCTTTTTTTTGCACACGCTCGTTGTGCTTTTTTTCACCTTTGAAACGTTTCACAGTTACGTGAAGTTGCTGGACATAGAAGAAACGCAGTCAAGTCCACTGGTCCCAACTTGGAAACCTGTTAAATCGCATGTTTTAGAACGTACGGAGGTTTTAATGTGACTAGCGTAGACGTCATTAATGCCTTTTTTAAATTTGCTCCTGCCACAATTTTCATCACAAACTGAACAAAATGAAGACGGAGAGAGAACTCAGAAATGTCTTATGTTAGTGCGGCACAGTTAAAATGCCGGAAATCATTAAAGAAAAGTCACAAAAATACAAAAACAGCCTCGAATCACAGCTGCCCACGAGGCGTTAAAAACAAAGGGAAGAAATAAAAGTTCTCCGATCTGTTCAGTCGTAGATGCTCTGTTGGTCGCAGGTAACTCGCTAACGGCTCTACAGTTGCGACAACAAGCGCAGAATTGTTTCGTTTTTTAAAGACTCTGCTTCGTGCAAACAGCTTGTTTTTGGCACATGTTTTAATTCGATGTGTAGAATGAAGTGGGTTTGATGAAAGATCACGATTTTCTGCTGAGACTTGGTTGATTTTTCCATTGATGCTAAAAGTCACTCAGGTCAGAGGCTGGCTGGTAAAGGTAAATAAGTTGACGGGGCCGGGGGAAAACAGAACAATTTTGATTATATTTTTGACCTGTCATTCAGAAAAAATTGCAAAAATTAACTAGGTTTAGCCTCTCAGATTCTAATCTGTTCAGGTTTTGTTGACAGTAAATGGGACGTGGTTGGGCTACCGTCAAACACAAACAGTCGGATTTCACATTTTCAATGATTGTCTTAGCATTTATCGACCAAGTAATTAATAAAAAATGAAAATAATAGTTGGTGGCACCTTTAGTTTTTAAATATGTACAACAGAGCAGCAATGATCAGTCACATTTTAGATGGTTTTTAACTGTTGGCAGAACAAAACAAGGGACTGACAGATGTTGGTTTGATCTCTTGGAGCTTATGATGATGCCTATCTCTGCCGCCCTTGTTCGGCCACTAATTCAGAACCAATTACCCCCAACAACCAACACAATCCACACATCAGTTTATAACACACTAACTACGTTCCTCATTTTTCAGGATGGTCTACAAGTGGTTCCTGTTGATCTACAAGCTGAGCTATGCGGTCGGGGTTCTGGGCTACCTGGCCATTATGTTCACCATGTTCGGCTTCAACGTCTTCTTCAGGTGAGCCACTGCTGACAGCCGGGCAACGTCATTTGTCTCACAGCAGGCGCCATTTGTCAGAGATAGAAACCGTGAAAACAGAAATGATCGCTGGATGTTCCATTCAGTGCCAGAAAAATGTCCCAAATCCAAGCCTAAAATTAGGACGTTCCATCAAAGTCACTTTATTTGATGCTCCTTTTTAGTAAATTCCCAAAAAACAACCTGTAAAAATGGTTGTTTTTAATAAATTTCGAATGGCTCTTAACCTTCTACTCACCAAAACCTGCCAGCAGATTTGAAAACGACTCATCTTAAAAAAAAAAAAAAAGGATGGTTTAGCCAATGTGTCAGCCAGAAACTGTAAAACCAAAGGACTCGACAGATTGTTAGCTTTCTGACGTGGGGTTGTATTTAGAAAATTAACCAAATCGTAGCTTAAAACTGTAGCGTTTCATCAAAATCACTTTATTCTGCCTGTTGCACAAAAAATATATTCGGATTGATTTTCGTCATTAATTGGGCTCGAATATCCGGAGCCCAGAATTTGCTATTCAGACCAGCCCTAGAATAACTTGGAGACTTGGACTAAAACTAGGGTTAAATTCCATTAATTGCACTTTGATCTGAACACCTTTAAACATTTCTTTGACCAGCACTTGGAGAGTAGATCCTTCTACTGAAAGTCCAATAAAGAGGCGATAAAGCCTGGTACTACATATGATGGACTTGTGGAGCCTTTTCAGTCAAACTAAATGCCTTTTAGTTCAGCTCAGCACAGCTTATTTTGCAGGTTTGTTTTCTGTCTTGGCGTAGAATCAAAGCAGAGGACTCCATGGACGTCGGAGTCATCATGCTTTTCTACGGGCTTTACTACGGCGTCATGGGCAGAGACTTCGCTGAAATCTGCTCCGACTACATGGCTTCCACAATTGGGGTAAAACACTTCATTTAAAATGTTGTAATCACCTGATCTCAAACAGACATTTACAACTACAGAGAACAACTTTGCTATCCAAACGAAGACGTCGTTTTTAGTGTTAAAACAAAAGACAACAACTTTGTTTGCAGTCAGTATCTGCAACATGACTGTCCTCCATCTTGGCCAGAAATGCAGCTTCAGCTCATGCTGCTTCCTTGGTTATCCAGTTCGGTGGTTGGTGCTTTCATATAAACGTAGCCTCCTTGACTGCATGTTGCTCGAGGAGGCGAGGAGTGATTGTAGGAGTTTGCCGTGATCGATCCCTCGATAAAGCCCTTAAATACCGTCATTGTATGAAATATGCAATGTGTGTTTTCAGTACTACAACAAGGGAGGCATGCCGAGCCGGAGCCTGACCAACGACATCTGTGCAGTGTGCGGTCAAAGGATCCTGGTGGACGTGGAGGAGGAAGGATTCATAGAAGACACCTACCAGCTCTCCTGTGGACACATGTATCCTTAAGTTGTGTTGATCTGTGCAGGAGGAGAGGCTTTTCAACGTATTAGTTAAACCCAGAGGGGTTTTATTTTGCATGAAAGTTCAGGAAGTATTGCCCCTGCGTTAAAATACAATTTGCCCAAATGTCTTTGGCAACGTGGAACACATACAGCCAAGTTCATATACAAGCCAAGGTCTGCTTGTAGAGACTGTGTTTATCATGGCAGTCTGAATTTTCTCTGAATGAATGATTGGAATGCATGAGTCTTTGTCGCAAAAGACAATCATACATTAGATTAACTGAACAGGTCAGAAAGTCACTTGGAGCCATTTTAAAGAAGCTTCAGATCCCAGAACCATCAGTGTGTCAGCATAAAGCTCATGGTCCAGTTGTGTTACTGCCACCATCAGGAAGGAAACACAAACTAGCAGCTGCTGCTGAGAGACGACTGGTCAGGATGGTCAAGAGTCAACCAGGAACCAGCAGGAAGCAGCTCTGGATGGACCAGAAGCTGCTGGAACACAGCTGTCAGTGTCCACAGGGTCTGACATCAACATGAGCTGAGAGGCTGATGGAGAAGGAAGTTCTTCCTCTGGAAGCAGAACCTGAAAGCTCCACTGAAGTCTGCTGCTGGTCACATGGACAAAGAAAAGGCCTTCTGGAGGAAAGTTCTGGTCAGATGGAACAAACACTGAGCAGAACCATGTCTGGAGAAGAGAAGGTGAGGCCTTCAACCCAAGAACACCAGACCTACCATCCAGCATGGAGGTGGCAGCATCATGCTCTGGTTCTGTTCTGCTGCCAGTGGAACTGGAGCTTTACACAAAGTCAGTGGACCAGTGGCTGGATCACCATCAGCTTCATGTAGCAGCTAGTCACCTCCACGTTGTTCAGGAAAACCTGAAACCATCAGCAGAAGGTTCTTGGACACAGTTGGATGTTCCAACCAGACAATGAGCCCAAACACACATCAAAGTGGTGAAGAAATGGTTCCATCAGACTAGATTTGCTGTTGAGAAGGTCATCAGCAGAAACTGGATCTTTGTCTTTGTCATGGTTGCACCTCATTTAGAATTTCTCTGGAGAGGTTTCTTTCCAGTGTGCGAGCTAAGTCAAGCTAACTGGCTGTCAGCTATTGCTCTATGTTTACTCAACAGACATGGCAGTGGTTTCGATTCCAGGTTAGCCTTGTGTTTAGCGACCGTAAAAGCTGAAAGACGACAGCTTGTCTGGTAATGGTGGGAGTCTGTCACAGGATGCTCTCGTTTCCAACGTGCGGCCTCGACTTTATGAGGCTGGTGTGTTTCTGACCATGACTGTTTTCTGTCCTTAACTCGACCCGTCCCTCCAGATTCCACGAGTTCTGCATCCGCGGCTGGTGCATCGTCGGCAAGAAGCAGACGTGTCCGTACTGCAACGAGAAGGTTGACTTGAAGAGGATGATGAACAACCCGTATCCTTCCTTGGAGCCCGTGCAGTTTGTTCTGTTCATTGTACCGTGGCCGCCCACAGAATCGGCAGTAACTTGAGTGTATTTAATGAAGCTGTGCACATTTTTACCGTCGTACTATGAATCCTTTCTGACTTGTGGGCCCTTGAAATGGGTCGACGTTCCGCACTTCATAATTCCTTCATGAGTTCAGGACACATGAAATTAAAATTTCAGGGCTAAAAAATACATTTGAGTTCTGTTTCCAGATCAAATCATTAAATGTTTTAATTTCTGCTTGACAATCTCTGGTTTGCAGTTTTAGCTTCATATCTTAAACACGAGGCTATACAAGAATGTTTTAGGAACAGATTGTAGACAATAGCCTGGATCTTTCACTGTTATTTCTTGGCATGTCATTGATTCAGAATCTGTAGTGATATTTTCTGAACCACTGGTAGCTGCAGGTCACAATAATACAAAACATATAGAATGCTTTTATGGAATACCTATCGAAGCCCCTGATATCCACTCCAGGTTTTAGAATCTAGAGAGAAAATCTGGCTTTTGTTGAGCTAAATTTTTCAGTCATAGAAACAGTCATCATCATCATAGAAACAACAATCAAACAAACAAGGGTCATTTTTTTCCTACGTTTGATGCCAGGATCACCTTTCAGACATGATTCCTTCTGTGGCAAAATCACTTTGAATATCGCCATTTGTTAATGCTTGTAAATGTAGTTTCTGGCTGAAATGGAGACACAACATTCCCGTTTTATAGAACAGTTCAGAGCGCTCCTTAATTCCTCCATCTTCATCCAGCTGGGAGAAGACACATGTGCTGTACGGGCAGCTGCTCGACTGGCTCAGATACTTGGTAGCCTGGCAGCCCATCATCATCGGGATCGTTCACGGGATTAACTTCACCCTGGGCCTCGAGTAGCACCCTGAGGAACGCCGCCAAAAGTACGCCTGTAGTCGGGGAAGGCACGAGAAACGTTTGGCAGCACACCGTCAAAAGTCGCCGCTACGAGGAACCGATTCTGGCTGCTTCTCGAGTCTTTTGCTTTGTGTTTTCGGACTGGATGCTTGCACAGTTTCCTGCTTGCGGGCGGTCTGGGATTCAACATGCAGAGGACGACCAGGGAACCCAAAACTGCTGCCAAGTTGAACAAAAAACTACTTAAGCACAGATCCAGCATTGGACCATTTGATGCGAGGAAGTTTCAAGAGTGTTGTTGCGCATGCTGTTTGTGTCGAGGTAACAACACCACTCTGCGGTTACAGAAAAAAAAAATTTGCGGTTTTATTTGCACACTCCTCCCCGCTGGCTTTGTTGATGCCACTCTGTGCTCGTTAGACTCCTGTCTGAAAAGCTGTAGAAAACCTGTTTACATTTCATGTACCTTTGTTACAGAAGGCTCGTTTTCATTTTTATGGAGCTTAAGTTGATGCTAAAATGTTCAGCTTCATGTAGCAGCTGGTCGACAGCTTCGTAGACTTGCGGCAGCCGAATCTTCACAGTGACTCAAGGGTCAGTTCAAATGTCATACTTTAAAATGGCTTTGCTGGCATTCGCCCAACATGGCGGCTCATTCAACTAACCTTCTAAACATCAGGTGGCTCGATCTAGAAGGGTTGGAAGTTTACCGTCCGTCCAGTAACAAAGCTTTCTTTTGCCAAATCGGACAGACATCGCTTCCTTAAGAAAACTGCTGCTGATAAAAACTTTGTATTCAATAAATATTTATAAATCCTTAAAGTGTCCCTCGCGTTGCGATACGTTGAGTTTAGTGTTTCATGTTGTTGACTTCTGTATGTGTTCTACAGGTTTGCTTTTGCTGTCACTTGCATTTATTGCTTAGATTTTTCATTTATACGGATATGAGCTATGCCAAAATGTGAATGTGTCAAACAAAATTATTTGTTTGTTCGATTAAGCCAATAGTTCACTGGTTTTCTTTCAGTTGCGAGCTCGCTTCACGTTGCTCGCCTGCATTGATATTTCTGACAGTACAAGACATCAATCAAAAGGAAAAGCTATTAAAGGGAAATAATGACCACCTGGATGTAAACAGCAGAACCATGGCTGTTAGGCAAGAGAGCTCAGAAATGTCTTCTCTTTAGTATGGTACAATCACAGAAGTCACAAAAAGAAAAAAGCTGAACTTAAGGTGCAATACCACTGAGTGCCACCAGGTGCTGGCTTCAAAAAGCTCCGGATTCAATAGACTCTCATTCAGAGAAAGCAAGTAAATACATTTATGTTGGCTTGTTTTCTAAAATGTGCAGTTCAATGTAATTATGATTGTACCAGCAGACTCTGACACCCTGTTTAGTTAGTAAACATTAATTTTCCATTTTTAATGCAATTTCTGCGCCAAGCATAATGTGTGCAACGCACCCCAGAAGTTGATGCGGAGACAACTAGCTAAGCTAATATCGTGTTCAATTACTGATGCACTGTGCTAACCAAGCTAGCTAATCAGCCTGAGAAAGGGTTAAGCTAACAACGTTTGTGTTGTGGTTGTGGCACATGTGACCAAGCTCTGTGGGGACGCTGGCTCTGGTTAAAGTAACATTTAGCTTAAGTTTAGCTTAATTTAAGCTTAACTGGGATCACAACGCTGGTGTTAACTTTCTACATGGTTGGCAGTCCTAAGTACCTGTCGTACCTCTGAGGTGAAGAATGTTCATCTCCCAAACAGAAGTTAAGGTGGTGTTGACATCAGATCATGCTGGTTAGTTCAAAATATAAACTCGACCACTAAGGGATTCTCGGTTGGTTATTATTGGCAAATTTTCAATGACACGTTCAGAACAAAGAGATTTTGATTAAATGTAGTGTTTTTAAGCTAATATTTGGTTAAGTTCCTCACAGATGAGTAGGTTTTGGGCCGGTTTTGGGGTCCAGAGGATTCCTCTCTATTTGGTCCAGCAAAGTCGGAGACACGTTTTCCCCAAGTGGCTTATGTCACTGGAGGAAAGCATTCCATTTCCTGTGCTCTTCTGAGTAAACAAACAAGAGAGAAAGGAAGACGGTACCGTCAGTGACATGGAATGTCCGGAGGGTAAACACAGATCAGGAGACCACTGCTCTTTATCGACTGACTGCAGCGCAAACGGACTAGATGCTAGCTGTGAAGCTCAGCGTACACATCTAAAGACCTTCTCTCTCTAACTTTAAGGATTCACACTCTGTCCGCTCACCAACTCTGTGACGAGAACATCACAAGTTCCTTCATGACTAACAGGTAAAGTCAATTAAGTTTAGAGAAATGAACAATTTCTGACTGAATCTTAATTCTAACCATGTGAAAGCAGCAATAAGTCGGGTTTGAATGCGTGGGTAGAATGTTTTCCATGACGTACTTTAAACAGGCTGAGGCAGAAGATCACTTAATCAACACAGTATAACATCCATAGAACTGAACTTCTGGGATGTTGATCTGTTTAGTTAGGAAGCGTACGTGATTCTGAATCCTCCCCCCCTCACTGGGTTAATCATTTTGTTTTCCACTGTCCAGTCACTGATGAACACTAGTTTATTGAGAACAAAACGATGTCAGAATGAAGTGTCCCCTTGTTTTGTCTTGTTTGTTTTTTGTTGAGCGGTGTATGTGTTTGTAATGTAGTTTTGAAAGGTTCCATCTTAAATATAAAACAGAAACGGAAGTGTGTCTTCAGAGAAGCTGTTTCTCAGGTTGATTATTGTGAATGTAGTGCTATCGTTTAATTTGTTCATTTGATATTGAAGAAAACAAACATGCAGTTTCTCAAAGCCAAATATAGTAAGAAACTGAATTACTTGTGTGTTTTATGACGAAGTTCAGAGAATTATGCTCATCGGAGAAGTTACGAGGCGTGCCCGCCATTTTGGCCACGTTGCCACGTTGCCATGACGGAAACTGCAGATGGCAGAGAGGATGACGGGAAAGGACAGCGCTGCCTAGTGGCTACAGCCGAGAAATGTCCTGAACGTGGCAGAATAGGAACAAAATGCAGATGAATACACCACAGTGACAGAAGTTTGGCTTCAGATTGAGCAGTTTGACCAGCTCGCCATGAAACAGGCTGTTCGGGTAGAGCAGTGCAGGGCAGTTTGTTCAGCTGCATTTAGATAAATTAGTAAATTGTCTTTGGGTAGGATGACATTCACTGAAAACATGAAAAGATTTGGTTGAATTCTTGTGACAGTAGAGCTTTGTACTTTTGAACAATATTTTAGGCAATTTTTGGTCATTTTTTCCTTAAACTTGGACTGAAGTAGTTTTGGGGGGACCCCTTCAAACTGGCCAAGTTTCATCAAAATTGATGAGATGGCTTGTGCTGCCCCTGCCTGGTCCTATCGTGGACGCACTCTTAAACCCCTCAGAACATCTGTGGAGAGACCTGACCATAGACGTTCAGAGTCACAGTAGAGTCTGGTGGAGTGTAAGGGGCAAAATGAGATTTTGAAATCTGTTTAAATTCAAGTGTGCAGACCCCAACTGTGGCATGGCAAAGGAACATTTTACGATGCTGTATAATAATGTATTTATGACAAATAAAGGCTTCTCTTTCTTCTTCTTCTTCTGCTTATCTGAGACGTCTGGAAGCTACGACTGCTGCCAAAGTACTGAATTAAGACCCTGAAAACTCTGAATACGTCCTCCCAGGTGAGCGTATGTAGATTGCAATTTGTGGTAGTCCAGTGCAACAACACAAACCGAGAAAGTGTCAGCAAAAACTGAAAATATCTAGCTTTTTGGAGGTCACAGTGTATGAGGTGTTTTATTTACTATTTTTTTTAAAAAGCGAGTTTGTGCCTACAAAAAGAAAGAAAGAAAAAAACCACCTGAAACTTCATGGATGTCTCAATTCTTCTGGCTTTCCAGATGGCTGCACTCAGTGAGGTAAAAGAGGAGGACAGACGGGAGGAAATGCAGCGAGAAGAAAAGGTAGTGGAAAAGGAGGAGGAACAGGAAGTGGAAAAGGAGGAGGAACAGGAAGTGGGAAAGGAGGAGGAACAGGAAGTGGACAAGCAGCAGGAGGAGGATGTTGGTTCTAAGGTCAGTACACTCTAATGTGGTGTATGAAATGTGTTTTTATTTTTACTGTTTTTGAACTACATAGTGAATGAAGTAACAGTAATTTTCTCACTCTGGTTTACAGCAGGGTCAACACTCACGTCAGTCCACAGAGGAATTCCCAAATCATGACATTTTCTGTGGTCTGGGTCATTCATTGATGGCTGCGATAAAAGCAAAGCTAAAGTCGAAGCCGACCAAGATGGAGGAGAAGACGACGAGTGAAGCCGGCGTCCGAGGAGCAGCAGGGGAGACGAGCGGCACCTACAACACCAACGGGAGTTCTGGTTGGATGAGACGGATGCTGAGGGCATTCGATGGCGATTCTTATCAGAAACAACTGGAGCTGAAGAAGGAGAACTTTGGGAAGATCCAACAGTCTTTCAGTGAAGTTCACAGAGTCAGGAAGCTGCTCCAACTGGGCAAGTCAGTTTGTAAGCTCATAGTTCAGGATGTTTGTCAGGGAACAGGCTTTGTGCTGTTTGATAGGTTCATCCTGACCAATGCGCATTTATTTAACAAATGTGTTGAAGGTAACAAGCTGCGGGAAGGCACTGATGTTTATGCCCTTTTTAACTATGAAGAACCTGAGCCACACACTGATTACCACACTTTCACTGCTGAGAAGACACTGATTGACTTTGACGTGGAGCTGGACTATGCCATACTGGAGCTCAACCACAAGCCTATGAGAGACGATCAAAAAAAAAAAGCAAAGAACCTGAAGGTGCCACCAGGGCTCCTGAGCAAGTTTGGTCCTCCACCTGACAATGGTGAAGCCTGTCTGATTGGCCACCCAGCAGGAGAAGTGAAAAAAATAGATCCTACATGCATCATTGAAATAGACAATCGAGGGCAGGCAGTGGGCCAACAGTTACACCCCTACAAAGACAAGCTGTTCGTTGTCCAGTCAGTCGTCGAAGCGCTCAAACAACAAGGCATTGAAAGCATATTGGAGGGAGGATGTAAAGCAGACAAAGTTGTGACCTACAACACCTTCATGTATCACGGATCTTCTGGCTCCCCAGTGTTTGATGTCGGGTGCAAAGTTTTTGGTTTGCACACTGCAGGGTATTGCTATGGGTTTCCAAAGGAGACAGACAGTGTGATTGAGTTTTCACTACCACTGCTGACTATATTTGAGAATTTTGTGGACAAACTGAAAGACAGCGGAAACAAGGAGCTGTTGGACAGAGTTAGAAAGGCAACAGAGGGAAACCCATACCTAAACCAGATCCTTGAGGGTGAATCCCTGACAGAGGAGGACATGGACGACAGCTAGCCAACTAGATCAGAAGCTCTTCGACACATCTGGCTCCAGAGATTTTCTTCTTCATGAAGTCATTTTACTCCAAACATTCAAACAGTCAAGCGCGTTAGATGTTTGTTTGTTTCTCTGAAAGTCATCACATCCAGTTTTGTATGTTGACTAATCTGGATGCCAACATGTACGTTTACTTTCTATGTTCATCTTCCACAGTTATCACATCAATGTTAATCATTTTGTTTCCTTCTTTG